TATATATTATCTATATGGAGATATATATATCTCCATTTTACAGATAAATAAACCAAGGCTCAGAGAGCTTAAGTGACTTATTCTTTTCAAATAGCTGATAAGGGGTAAAAGAAAGACTCAAACCCTGTTTTACTGATTTCTAATTTCTTGATCTTTGTGCTACATCATACATCATTGCTCACTTTCTTAATGATCTAACTTCAGGGAAATAAGAAGAAAGGTAATGAAAATTAGAAAAGGCAAATATCCCTGGTGGTCTAGTGGCTAGGATAAAAAAACAGAAAAGGCGAATAAAGCAGAGAAAATAGTGGCATTTTCTAGGGTACAAGGTATGATGACAGGGGCTTTACAGGCATTTGCCAGTCTTATTGTTGCTCCTGTCACTGTAATGAGCTATTATTATACAAAAACTAAGAACCTGAAAAGATCTCTATTTCTACTAATATACTGAGTAGGGATGCTATGGTTTGACTGTTTGTGCCCTTCCAAAATTCATGTTGAAACTTAATCCCTACTGCAATATTATTAAGAGGCGGGGCCTTTAGGAGGTGATTAGGTCGCGAGGACTCCTCCCTGGTGAAGGAGATTAAGGTTCTTATAAAAGAAGCTTCACACAGCATTTGGCCTTTTTTGCCCTCTGCCTTTTGCCATGTGAGGATACAGCATTTGTTCTCTCCAGAAGATGCAGCAACAAGGCGCCATCTTGGAAGCAGAGAGACTGGACCCCCACCAGACACTGAACCTGCCAGAACCTGCATCTTGAACTTCCCAGCCTCCAGAACTGTGAGAAATAAATATCTATTCTTTATAAATTACCAAGTCTATGGTATTTTGTTATGGCAGCACAAATGGACTAAGACAAGGAACTTTCACACTGGTAGGATAAAAACAAGGGCTTTTCAGGTGGTACAATTTTTACACAACAGGCGGAAGTCTGGGCAGTAAGGGAGAGCTCATAATATCATCAACTCTTTCTGGAAGAGCACCAGGCTCTAAGACCTGAAAAGCCACTGTCATATGGTCAGATCAAGTATCTTTCATGGCAAGTGAGTCTGTGGCTATATTAATACATAAGTAACAGAACTGATAAACAAAATTTT